TACCATATGATATTACTTATATGTGGAATCTAAAAAAAAAGACAAATGAACTTATTTACAAAACAGAAACAAACTCATAGACATAGAAAACAAACTTATGGTTACTAGTAGGGGAAAGGGGTGGGAAGGGATAAATTGGGAGTTCAGGATTTGTAGATACTAACTAATATATATAAAATAGATAAACAACAAGTTCATATCGTACAGCATTGGGAACTATATTCAATATCTTATAGTAACTTACGGTGAAAAAGAATATGAAAACGAATATATGTATGTTCATGTACGACTGAAACATTATGCTGTACACCAGAAATTGACACGTTGTAAACTGACTATACTTCAACAAATAAATAAATAAATAAATATGTGTGTGTGTATGTGTGTGTGTGTGTATATATATATACATATACACACACACACACACAGAAAAAATAAAAAGGAAAGCAGGTGGGTGGAGGGGAAACCCTTAACCATTCTACAAATAACAGTTAAGCTTACATACAACTTGATAAGCAACGGGCTGGTCTCTGTGATACTTTGTTTTCTCTAGACTGGACCTGCATGTCTTTTCAGTATAGACAAGCCAAGTTAAAATGTTTAGCTGGAGCATCAAGGGCATGTTCACAATAATGTATCAAACCCAACACTTAACCTATATATTTTCATGTTGCAAATAAAAAAAGTGCAATAGTATAAAAAAAAATCAGTAAACAACTATCGTTTTAGAAATTACACGTTAAAGGACATCTCTAACCCTATCTTTGAACAGTTTGATTTTGATTTTTTAAACCCATATTTCATTAGACTTTCTTACTTCTAGAGTTATAATTGTCTAATGACTCTGACTTACAATAATATGAAAAACTAGGGTTTCCTTTTTGTATTTTCTTGTGAATTCCTCTGTGGAAGGAAAGACCAAATCAAAGGAGAAAAGCAAAGGCTACTTACTCTGAGCTTAATAGAGGAAGGGAGTCAGCCCCTGTCACTTGTGTTTTGGCTCAAAGGCTGCAGAAGAGTGGGAAATCTTTATAGTGGAAAAAAGGAGTTTTCGGGTGTTCAGTGTTCCCTGAAATACGAGGTTCTATGTGGTTGGTGTAAAGCCTGAGATGCCTCTTCCCTGGTTTTGATATGTGAGTCCTCATCAGTCATAAAAAGCCTTTGCATGGCTCACACCATGTCTTACTGAAAATAAAAGACAGATTTGCAAAAATTTTATTTCGATAAAGAAGAAATGTGTTTCAAAGGATTGAACTTGTTTATGGCGTAGTCCAGAATTTCTTATGAGAGGTTAGTTTGTATTAAATAAACAAATACAAGTCACACTTGAAAATCTAACTACAAGAGTGACTTTAAAAAAGCATGAAGGACATTTAGCTTTAATAGGAAAAACAGTTTAAAAACCAAGTGAACGTTACAGAGATAATATTTTGGACTGGCCTAGTCCAGACAATGGCAATGATGTTACAAATGAGGAAACCAGGACACAGTGCTTACTTAGCACACAGAATATGCCCAAAATACAACTGATCAATGACTCAGTGGACAATTAAAATAAAGACTCCCAAAGTTCACACAGCTAACAGGAAGTTTTACTAAATTTCAACATGACAGAACTCATCTGACAGTTTTCTGAGCATGAAGTGCCAATTATCTGAAATGAATTTGTCTGTTCTCAACTCTCTTGGATCTCCCAGTCCGCCGAGTTAAACAACCAAAGAGCAAAATGTAATTGGAAAGTAATAATTGTAACTCAATAATAATTTCCAAACAGATAATGACTTGGAAATACAGGGAGAGAAATACGCATGAGGCACTGCATACCAAGAAGGAGCCTGTAATCTAGGATGCTGGGGACAAGGATTTGCAAAGGAAACAATGTCCAACAAGCTCGTTCTTCGAAGGTTTGATGATTAAGGCACGTCACGAGGAAGCGTCAGCACTGGTGAAACCCCAAGAGTACAAGCCACTGAGACTGACTGCCGTCCTTCCAGGGACTGAAATCAAAATACAATATTTGAGAATCTCCATCTACCACACAACTTCCAAAACACACATATAATGATTGTTCCAGTTCCCCAAAGTGGGAAGGGAGCATCTTTGGCCTACATGCCCATCTAGGCTACTAACAACAGGTGAGGACACTGAACAAAGGGACTCTGAACATCTTGACAGCAATTTGAATTTGGAAGTTTCGTTAGATCCAGGGAGAAAACTGAGAAAAATGTCTGAGAGAGGTATTAGCTGTGTTGTTGCTCTTAACAGAATAACGGTGGTGACTGACCTGAATACTCTATTTGGGTCCAGGTCAAGCTTGAAAACGTGTAAATTT